TGTGTCAGTAAATACACTGTTATTATCGAGTTCTGGTGCGCCGACACTGAGCGGTCCTCATCTGAGTGCTCCGGGCTGTCCGACGGTCTTGGGACCTGGGGAGATGTAGGATGGTTCCAGCGAACAGCTTCAGCAAACAGGATGCTACTTCCAATTTGAGGCCTAGACATCATCAGGACCGAGGTGTTCATCATCCTCTGGGCTTTCAAGCGGTCTCGGGACCTTGGTGGATGTCGCTTCCCGAGGGGTGCAGCGAACAACTTAAAAGCAACTCAGCAGCTAGGATAGCGATTAGAAATTGAGGCCTAAACATCATCCGGGCCGAGGTGTTCACGTCGACAAACCTAGGTTGAGACCAAATGCGGCGAGGGGGGCGTGAATGACATGTCATAAGCTTTTGCATCCCTACTCACTCTTCGACGACGAGCAAAGCTTTGCACCACGAGATGAGGTATCATGCAAGGATTCAGGCTCCGGCAGCAGGCCCGTCCAAATCCTCGTCCGCCTGTACATGTGCAGGGCCATCACAATATGGTGCAGTACACGTGCCTATAGACCGGATAGATTACATAGCCGACGCAAAAAAAGCCTATCGAGCTCCACACGGATAGATACTTGTGTGTGTGTGTGCGACATATACAATGCAGTAAGTAAATACTTTCAAACGATGTCGAACATGTTCTCACCCACATACAACATGTGTCCGACTGTGTTAATGCGAGGGCGCCAATGATTACATATATTATAACATCACAGCTACTACAAATAAACATGTCTGCATGCATACGTACATATACGATGAGTGCAGTGCAAACTGCAAGAGAGGTTTCAGATATGATGCATGTAATGTCTATGGACAACATCGAAAGGCAAATTATACTAGATGCATATATATATATACTAAGTATATATATATATATAGAGAGAGAGAGAGAGAGAGAGAGAGAGAGAGAGAGAGAGAGCCATACAGGTGGTATGCATGCATATATATATGTACCCGATAGCTGCATGCTATCATGATCGTGATGTGGTTGTACGTCATTCTGTCTTCTTGTGCGGTAGCTATACATATGCTTCGAATAGCGATCCTGTATATGTGGTATATATGAGCATGTATCACTTGCTCCGACGCCTCATCCGACCGGAGATGGGATCCCAACACCAGTGTCTCCTGGGAGTCGACGTCCGACTCATCCGTGTCGACTTCGATAATCTCCACCTGCATGTCAAGATTATGGTCATTTGTTATTATAATAGTACTAGGCATATGCTACGGCTGCATCACATAATATCTATATATATATACACACATAATAAAATATACAGCAGAATGCACACGTGCACTGCACCGACCCGATTCGATCCAACTTTTCACAGTATACATACCGACCTACCGACCTCTTCGCACATCCCGCATCCGGTGGCATCCTCGAGATGGCTCTCATCATCGGCCTGCCCGATGCAATGGGTCTATATAAAATGTTGAAGCTTATAATTAATGAGTATGCAATGGAAACTCGTATATGTCTGATTATAGTTATTATATAATATATCATACACATATACATACATACGTATATGTAAAATATATTGACGAACGATCGCGATAGCCGCAGGTGCTACAAAAATCTCGGCGGGGCGGGGCTTTGTTTTGCATAGCGGTACTGATCATGACTATGGTAACAGCTACAGCTACACACACATATAATCATGCCGTAGTAGTTCGTAGTCTGAGGCCCTAGGCCTATTACTGATGGGCTGTGTGTTTCCACACATGCGGGCACACATGACTCGCGATCTATCATAAGTTTAAACAGCACTCGTCATGATCATTGAGTGATACGAGCGGATCCCCACCCATGCAAGCTTAGAGCATGCATGTGAGCAGCGAGCCTCCTTGTTTTCAGCTCCCTGATCATCTGTTGCAGTGATCTTGACGGCTGCTCCCACCTGGCTGGTATTATAACATGTATACGTACAACCATAGGTTGAGAGATATTATATATATATATATATGTATGTGTACGTGTGCACTGCCGTAAACCCTACCCGAGAACATAATTTTCAAACAGTGTATATATATATATATATATGTATAGACATGTGTATATATACTATATATATATATATATGCACATAGTCGTCGTACTACCAGTATAGCTAGTATCGTAGTAGTATCGTAGTAGTAGTACTAGTATGTGTGTATATACATATATATATATATATATATATATATATATTATGTGCACATATAGTCTACTACCAGTAATAGTAGTAGTAGTAGTAGTAGTAGTAGTAGTAGTAGTAGTAGTAGTAGTAGTAGTAGTAGTAGTAGTAGTAGTAGTAGCGTAGTAGTATCGTAGTACGTAGTAATAGTAGTAGTAGTAGTAGCAGCAGTAGTAGTAGCAGTAGCTAGCTAGCTAGCTTTAGTAGTAGCAGTAGCTAGTCTACTACTACTACTATACCACTACTACTACTACTACTACTACTACTACTACTACTACTACTACTACTACTACTACTACTACTACTACTACTACTACTGCTACTGCTAGCTACTATATACTACGGGTTGTCATGATCATAGGACTATATATTATACTAGGCACATTCGAAACTAGTGACGGCTTCGAAATCTACGTGCATTGCATACGAGCTCATATGCTGCAAACCCTGGCTTACTCTATACTTACCGACCCCCCACACCCACAAATGCAGCCGTAGGCCTGCTCGGGATTCGTGGCTGGCCCATTGTGCTCGTACACTGCCACTGCTGCCTTGCACATGCTAGCGGGCTAGGACCCAAGGGACAATGCTGATGCACATGCTGGGCTAGGATCCAAGGGACAATGCTGATACTTTTTTAGGCTGTTCGGAATCACCGACACGAGCATGCAATCGATCAAGCTTCAGGCATCTGCGGGGTGACCGAATAGGTGTCACAAGCCGTGAAAAGGCATTTGATTCGAAACTATAGTGCATAAGTAAGATCTAGAGTTCGGACCAGTGTGGATGGGCCCGGGGTGATGGTATATAGCGCATGACACTAAATAAACTGCTTTATTATGTAGTCGATTCATACAGAATTACTGATTTGGAGTGAGCTTTGGAATTAATTATCATTAATTGTATCCCAAATTATGGAATGCAAGCTGTAGGCCTGCTCTGGATTCGCGGCTGGCTCATCGTGCCCATTCGTCACTGCAGCCTTCATGTTGCAACGGTCGGAGACTATATAGCAGAGGCCTTATTATAATAATTATTACTTATTATTATTATATTATTATTATTACTATTATTATTATGGGATAACATATTCATTTGGGGCTCGGTCGGGGTCATACCGATCACTTCGAGTGGTAGGTCCTCTTATATCAAACGTATACCAGATGGGCCGGGTGGGGGCTGGCTGTCACACTGGCTGTCACACCTACCCAATACCAAGCCTGGCCAAATCTAAACTGGCATGCTCACGATCCTCTATGTTTATCATAACATGACTAACTATGCAATGCATGCATCCGCGGGCCTGCTCTGGATCCCCGGCTCGCTCATCGTGCCCATTCGCCACAGCAGCCTTGTTGTTGGCAAGCTAGCGAAACTAGCAACTACTAAAAAAAGCTTGAGGGTCTAGGTTCTGGGATCGTTCGTAACACACAAGCGCCATGCACCCATATCTAGTGGGAGATGTGCACTGAATAGGATAAATATCTAGAATGATGACATCTACATGTATGTAACATAATTTTTACACTAGTACTGCTCACAGACATGAATGCAATATCGTTGTAATCGTGGGCAATAATGAAGTGCTAGCCCCCGCAACCCACTAAAGCTTGATTAACAATCGCACGGCAGGTGCCACTGCATGTCAATCCTGATCGAGTATTCAGTATATCCTTTATGGGGGTTGTAACACCGTTCTTCAGACAACAATATATATGTATATACATATCCATTGGTCATGGTGCACCCAATAAATCATCACCGGTATACTGACGATGTGAGCTCGTATATGGGATATTATAATATGATCCAGATATACTTAGATATATAGGATGACGATCTAGACAACATGTGCAAACCATCTCGGAAACATCAAGGGGACACCCCATATTAATACAGTCTGACCTGCTCCAAACACACAGACACACACACACACACCAGGGAACCTGAGCCTAATCACTGCATAGGGCTATAATTAAGCTACATACCAGAGATCGGGCATGAGACTCGCACCGGTGGATCCGCTTCATCTTGATCGCCGCCAGCCTGCCACATTCGGTTTGTACTGTATGTTTGCGGCGCAAAAACAAAACATGGGACAATAATACTCCGGCATCCATCACATGTGCATGCTCAGAGATTCGCGATCGCAAATGCCTTCAAATTATAACCCTGAGCATCGCCACCTCCGGATCCATTTCCACGCAGCCATCGGACCCATCGGAGCCGATAGCCTTCGTGAGGGTTCGAGGTATGGGGCGTCATATGTTGCATAGACCTATTCTTTTATATATATATATATATATATATATATATATTATAGGGGTATCTATATATATATATATATATATATATATATGTATTCGAATTCTTATTCGAAGTCGCCTTGCATGAAAGGGGTCGCGATGTATAGTTTGGCACCACTACAAGATATTACAATAGTCGAATAGCACATCTAGAGTTCACATGCTGGTATTCGTCGGGCTATGATCGAGAATTGATGCTTAGTGTTCCGGGTAAAGAATTATGTTAAGGATGCAGTATATCAGATATGCAAAGCCCACCCAGTTGGGCTTGCAATCGAGCCAAAGTGAAAACTACAGCAGCATAAAGCCAAATCCTAAACCGGTATGCCAGCACAAGACTCACATCTTTCTATCTGATCGTAACCCCGGCTATATATCCGATAACCTTTTTTTACACAATGACCGCTATCCAGCTCAAAGAGTAGAGGCACCCACAATTATTAGTATCTAGCCACGCTGTCTTATTAATTATAACCCGTAAATATTAGCGGTTACATGAGCTATTCCCTGTCCTAGTGGGCTACCTATGTAGATTATCGAACAACAGTGGGCCTCCACGTCGTCCAGCTCATACAACATCCTTTCCAGCTCCTGCTCGTCCACTTCCTGGAGTGGTTAACTTAAAGAGGTACTCAAAAGGGGATTCGGTCACTAGGCATGGTATGTACCTATATATATATTTATTGTGCATATGCGACATGTACATATGTAACTTCGAAAGGCCACCTCGGCCACTTCGCGATCGGGATCGTCGTCCAAGGCCACGGCCACGTCGCAATCGTCGTCCGAGTCGAGCAGGTCGATCGTCGATCCGGCAGAGCCACACGACGACGTCGTGGACGACGACTGCGACTCCGCACCCAAATCCTGGATCGCTGCCTTGCTCGTTCGGCGGTTGGGTCGCTCCGGCACCACCGTACGATTGATCCTCTGGTGCAGGGCCTTGAGAACCATCATTTCTTCAGTCCTGTGCACATTTGAACAGCGAATGGTACCTTGATGTCACCCGAAGTGTGTATGGAAGCTCCTCGCATAAGGAGTGCGGTTCAGGGCCGTAATGACATAGGCCGCCAATTTCCGCAAATTCGACCCCTGCATCACCGCCCACTCCTGCCGGGCTAGATGCCCACCCGACATGCATCACACATCAATGCAAATCATGTGATCTATAGCGGGAGCAGCCTTGATTTCGCCCTTCCGGCCACGCTTCTTGATTTCTCGGGCACTCCAAAACCCGTAGACACAGCTCAGATAGAGAACCGCGACCTCGACACTACAAGGTGCAGCTAGCGCCTCGCCCGGCCTAGCTAGGGTACCATGCTATGTCGTCATCACTCGGTTAATCTGGGATGCGGACTCGGTGAGCCAGGCATGGCAGAAGGTCCTTTGCATTCGTGACCCCGCAGGTCAGGGTCACCACGTAGACCTTGAGCAGTTCGTAGTTGTAGTCCGGTCGACACACATCGTCACCAACCGCGTGGGTGCCATCGATGCTGCATATGCTCCGTTCCTCAAGTGATCTGCAGTAGCAGATTTATTGGATTCCCTAACAGTCTAGCTGCCAGCTGCCGGCCTTGTCATCCCGCAGCTGGTCCAGCCGGCTTTCAATAGCCGGGCGGATCGCATTGGCGATCTTGAGGCTGTCAGCCTCGTGTACATGTGTGTTTGTGTGTACATATACATATATATATATATATATATATCAGATGTATATATACACACCGGACCATGATATGATGGTTGCAGTCGAGTGTCGTCGACTTTGAAGCGCAACGGACGCAACACCTGTTTGATGCCTCCATGCGCCTCCATGGTTTTCATCTTGGCAGGCGCATCAAGGCATCGCTCAGCCCGTTTTGAGTTCGACATGGCACTACACAGGCACCACGAAGAGCTGTTGCAAACGTTCTACACAAAAAGTCCCCGAGCCGTGCGAGCTGAATACATGCCCTGCAGTCAAATATAGAGCTAGATAGCTGAGCCTAAATTAAGCCTCGAGCTGGCCCTGCAGCAGAGCTACAAGGAGCTGAACTTAAAGCCCCAACCTCGAGCTGGCCCTGCAGCTAGATAGATCGCTACATGGAGCTGAACTTCGTAAAGCCCCAACCTCGAGCTGCACATGGACGTGAGCCCCTACATTGTACATGCGCATGGCCCGAGCAAAACCTGCAGCACGGCAGTTTTGCGATCATGATCACTGGACCGAGCACAGCACACGAAAAATGCAACAGCTTGCAAATTGCAAGAGCAAGGCCGGAGGGTGCACCGTCCTCCACTTCGCGAGTTCGCTTTCGCTCGGATGCCCCCTTAAGCATCGCCCAACGACCAGACATGGTCACAAACAAAAAGTGTTCTACCACAACCCTAGCTATAGCACCTGATCTAGGCCAGCTATTATATATTTGTGCAGACGGAGATAGACATATATGTCTATAGCTATAGATCCACAGAAGCACCGATCGATCTATATAGGCTAGTGGCTTATAAGTACCACGTAGATATCAGAGGTAAAATGCCGGCAAGCAAGATCCTATAACCCTGGCTCGCATACGGGACAGTGTACATATACGTGTCACTTCGAAGGCAAAATGCCTGCGGATTCGGCCGGAGTGCAGGGTATACGAATGCCTGCAAAGGCTTCAAAAGTAAAGCAGCATAGCTACCAAGCAATATCCTACACATACATGGTATACATGTGCGATATATACATACACATAATAATACATATATATATATACACATTATACGCATACTCGTAGATATGCAAGTATATACGTATACATCGCTATACGGGATCGTACATATGCAGATGTGCTCGGAATCCGAGGGCTCATATACGTACATACCCCCAATCTCGATGTGCTGGCGATTGCGCCCCGAAATCTTAATAGCACATGTTGCACGAAGCACGATCTAGTGTCCAATGATGAGCGATACAAAGTCAAAGGATGGTTTGTTGTTAGCTCATATTCGTGTGTCATTATTTTTATGGAAAACCCATGTGGGCTCTGGGGCGAAAGTGGGCTCTGGAACAAAACTGGCTTATGTTGGCTCTCTGTGCACACACGGAGCCTTTGGGACACAGGGCACACCATTACTACATTGCGGCGTGCTGCTGCCCGTGCAGCTGTTATTCTTCCTCACCCGAGCACTAGCCGACGATCCTTCGGCCGCCCCACTTCTGCAGCTCACCAACATTACCCCATCCCGAGACGGCCAACATATTGAGGTGCGGGTTACATGCAAGGTTCCAGCTGACTTGGTAGGCCGTCCTCAGATTGCCATTGCGGACCGATTGATGGCGGGTTTTGAGAACGGACTCCTTCCGGCCAGACGCGGTGAGTTTGAACCGCGCATGTTCACGTATCCTGGCTCATATCGCGGCACCTTTCGACTGCTCTTCCCCCTTGCGGATATTCCGCTAGGGTTACAAGCTCAGCCGTCGCTTGCGATTCAAGCTGCCGGGTTACTGCACAGCGCCCTGTGGCGTCTTCGCGCCGCGGCCACCTCCGGAGGCTGGGATCTCCGCGCGGTTGTCGCCTCTGGATTCGTGGGCCGCAAAAGAAGAAATTTTACTTTCCGACCCGCCTGTGGCGCTATTCGCACTTCGACGCAGTGGAGGCCAAAGCGATGGCCCTCCTTCAAAGGTTGGTCGCCCAGGAGGAGGGACGAGCACAGCCGGCACAGCCACCACCGGATGGCACCCGTCCCTGGATCAGGCTGGGGCACCCTCAGGCACAGGACCGCTGGAAGGCTGCGGCGGATGAATTCCTCAGAGCAGGGGGCCTCGGACCCGGCCTCCAACTTCCCTGCATATCCACGGAACTGATGCCATACCTTCATAGTGAGGACCACGACAACCACCAATACTCCTACTCACGCTTGAAGGAAATGTACACCGAAGGGAACTATCAAATGCTCTATCTCCTGAAGGAGAGTCACTTCCCCTCGAGTGGCCGTGACATGCAACGCTTACTCGACAGCTGGCCGCACGAGGCAGCGACCGGCTCCACTAGGTGACCTCCGCTCTATGCGACCTAGGACCGACGACAGACGTCGTTGTGTCGATATTCTGGAAGCTGAGAGAGCTACAGGGCCCTTGCGTCTCACGAGACGGGCAGGTGGTATCCCTCCGCCCTGCATCCACTGTTCGATCAGGCCGGCTCGGCGGCTCATTCTTCTGGCCCGCTGAGGGCCTCGATCTGATGGCACGCCGACCGACGACATACGTCGTTGAGGTCCGATCGCTACCTCTTGCACACCAGGAGTTCATTTTCCATACCCTTGCCTGGTCACTTGCACGGTACCCTGACTTGGTTGCGTCGTGTTGGGCTGCCAGCACGTCGACATACGTCGATGTCCGTTTTCTAACCCCCGTACGGCCCTCTTTTCCTTGCTTCTTGCATGTGTGTGGAACGAGCGGCCGCCCAACGTCAATACTCGGGCTTCGACATGTTTCAGACTACCTCATTTTGGGACATCGACCCGGTCTTTGCCACATTCGCACTGTCCCTTCCAGCGGGGCGCGAACTGCGTGGTCTTGAGGGACGCTTTGACAGGTATGAGAAAAACTCCCCCAGTTCTCCGGGCGTGCCGCTGACGTTTCCCGTACGAGACAGGACTCTTGCCATGGCTCAGGCTCTGTCTTGGGAGACCCGTTAACTTGGAACGTCCTGTGCGTTGCGCTGCCGGACTGACGCACACCAGGAGCTTCCCACGGTCTACTCCCTTGCCTGGTCTACCTGTGCGCGTAGTTTGGCAACAATGACCGCCGGCAGCCACTCCATCACCGAATTTGAATACACCGTGGATCGTCTGTCTCGATCCTGGGTTACGGCCATTTCTGGCCGTTTTGAGTCGCAACGACTCGGGCACCGACAGCTCTGAAGCCTTTCTTCCCGGCGAATTGGACTTCTGGACTTTGGCGTGCTCGACCGTGACGAAACAAAGCGCAGGGGCTGCCCGTTGTCTGACGAGACTAGAACGGCGGCCGGAGCTTGGTCTTGGCTCCACCTGTTGCTTTGGGCAGCTTAGGGCGACGGCTCTTTGTTGCTTCTGATCGGTCGCTGAGGCTCCGTAGATGGGTTGAACGGCTACCACCGGTAAAGCCTGTGCGCCGCAGCCCTTGTAGAGCTTCGCCTTTGTCTCACCGCTTTGCAGTTTTTAGTTGCTTGTTTGTAGTCTGTTTGTTTGTAGGGACCGAGTGCTACAGCCGTAGTCGACGAGGCCCGCTCACGCCAAAAAAAAATCTAGACCCCGGGTTGGGCGGTTCATTTGTTCGCGGCTTCAACATTCTTGTAGGAGACTTCATGCCCCTTCTGAAAGCCCCTTGAGAAGAAAGACTCTTCTCACTGACAATCTTTTTGTTTGTTTGGTCTTTCTTGCAAAAACCGCCCACAAAGCGGTTTCGTGTGGCTTCTTCTTTTTTTGTGGCAGGGACTGGTCATTGGTAGTCTTTTTCTTTGTTATCGGCAAGCTTCTAAAAACAGCGAGGGGGTTGGAGGGGCGCGGACCCCCCCAAACGTGAGTTCCCGAAACTTAGAGTTCAAACGTCCCGGAGGGAGAGAGGAATTCTAGAACCCGAGGTTCCAACATAGAGTCATAGAGTTCCCCAAACCCCGTGTTCCAACATAGAGTTCCCGAACCCAGGGTTCGAACTCCCTGGGGGACCGGGGGGCAGGTTCCGGAACCCGGGGTTCCAGTATAGAGTTCGAACATAGAGTTCCGAACCCAGGGTTCGAACATAGAGTTCCCGAACCCCGGGTTCGAACATAGAGTTCCCGAACCCAGGGTTTGAACATAGAGTTCAAACTCCAGGTTCAACCTGGATTCGAGAAGTTCGAACCCAGGGTTCAACCCTGAGTTCCGGAGTTATATGTTCTCCCCCCCCCTCGGGCCCCCCAGGAGTTCGAACCCTGGGTTCCGGAACACTCCAAAAACCTATGCTCGTCACTTGTTTGCCCATCGACCTTGGTAGGAGATGCTGGAATTGCTACACGATGACACTTACGACCATCTCCTCAGCAGCTTCTGTATCGCTGCGTCAGTCTTCTGTGAGCCGCTTTTTCTACAGGAGCACACGTGTCTCTGGAGCAGCCCACCAATGCCATGTCCTGGCTTGAACCTTTTGTACAAGATATGCTTTCGGAGATACAAGCAACTCTTGTCAACATCCCGGCATGCTCCGTGGGTCAGGACGTGGCAAAATCGTGGCTTTTTGCCTGTAGCTACAATGAGTTCCGCACCTTGGCAGGCACGTGCTCACACAAAGATCCCCACCAATCTGTTGCAGGCGTCAGGGACGAGCACGGCAATTTTCTGTCCCAGCGAACGGCCAGTATCCGTCCCAGCTTGCACCAGGCTTTGCGGCTAAGGCATTGCACCTCTTTTCGGATGTCCGCTTCGACTTCAGCAGCATCCCCACTTCCTGTAACAGCCTTCTTTGTTGCCCAGGAGAGACGGCAAGGTTGCGGGCCTCTTTCAAGCGCTTCTCGGACGCACACTGGGCCCAGGACTGGGACTTCGCAGCAAAGGAAGGTCAACCGTACTGCTTCCGCCCTTGAACGCTTGAGCACTATTTTGCCGGCAAAGATACCTCTCTTTTCCCCGCCTTGCGTACTGGGGTTCCCACCGGCTTTGACGGCGACATCCCCGCCACGCTGCGCCCTCGGACTCAGGGAAGTGCTGCAACTGAGGACCTGCTTATTTGCGAAGGCAACTGGCAGGGCGCTGAGGCCGATCCTGCACTTTGTCAGGAACCGTTGAAGAAGAGGTTTCCGCGGGGTACATTGAGGAAATGCCCAGCACCTGCTTTGCAATGCAAGGTGGGGCAAGATCGGGTTGCAGGGGCTCTCAACATTGTCAAGGCT